AGAGAGAGAGAGAGAGAGAGAGAGAGAGAGAGAGAGAGAGAGAGAGAGAGAGAGAGAGAGATCAGTTGGGTGTGACTGCTCGTAGACTGAATACCAACTGAGTTCCCACCTGCTAAGTCTGTGTGTGTGTGTGCTTGCTGGACTGCATGTCTGTCTGAGGGCTGGTTGGCTTGAGTGCGTGTGACTGTGCCTATCTGTGTGCTGGTTGGTATGAGTGTGTGTGTGACTGCATGTGACTAGGGGTTTAAGCCACCAGTCCATCGGAGGCTAAGTTGTCGAACCAAAAAGTGCATTTGTGGGAGCCTGACATCTACAGTGACCGTTGTCGAGCGCATCAGCCCGGCACCGCACGTGGCAGTGCGGGACCCTCTCGGCCGTGTCACGCCGGAGTTGGACCAACCTCGTCACGGACACACAAATGGAGCTTCCTTAGGCCGCTCCGGCCGAGTGCGCCTGCCGTACCTCTCGCGAGCCCCTACGACAGGATAGGGCCTACGCGAGGCACGACTTACCTCCACCTTACGGGAGTTGTCACCTCCCTTCGGTGGGCGTATCCCCACCGAGCCACCAGTCCACAGTACGAAAGCTACTCAGTTGCAATCGCAGAGGTGGAACAGCCGAGGGCGTTTCTCGTTCGTTGTAGCATAGCGGGTACGCGCGGTAATACGCCTATCAAACCCCCACACGCGGGCCGACATCTTGGGGGGTTGAAGTCCCAAGCGTGGCTCAACGTCGGTCGACTAGGACGCATCCCACACACCACGCGCACACCACTCTACGAACACAAAAACAATACATACGCGCGCGCACACATTGCACAAACAACACAACACGAACAACGCGACAACGCTCCTAGTCCCTCGGTAACCAACCCATAACTTTTCGATGCGGAAATTGGATGGGCGTGGCGCGCGAGACTTAATATAAAAAACCACGTGAACGCAGGGCTAACTCATATCGACTCGCAATGCAAACGTACCCAAGCAGTCGCAATGATGACGTACTATGTCGTGCCCATAATCGTGCGGCCCTCGTTAATTTCAAGGGTCGCATTCGACACTCAAGTGTCGGCTGACACACGCCTTGAGGGTTAATCTCTCGACGTTGGACAACCGCCGTGCGCGGTTGGAGACCACACCCTCTTCTGCACCCTGTGCAGAGGGGTTGAGTAGACAGCTTTAAGCAGTTGTGGTGGTCGAACATCAAGGGGTTTGACTTTGACGGCCGCCACGGACTATAACGTCCAACTATGAAAACACAAAAAAGGAGACTCACCCCAACCCCATTAGCTAGTGGCCTTCAAAAATGGAACGGGGGTGGATAAGCCCAAACGACGCGCGCGCGGAGGAGGTCCGGTATCCTACCCATAGACTACCTGACGTCCGGGATAATGAGGCCCGTACACGGATTCCCAAAGGCTAACCGAAGCTAGTCCTCCGCCCACGTGTCGCTTCACGTTACCAAGACCCCAAGTTTATTGGCCGTGTCGCGCTCGTGATCTCGCCGCCTGACCCATAACTCTTTTAGCGTGGGATGCGACGTGTGCCGCGCGCGAACTTGGTATAAGATCGCGGGGGCGCTGGGCTTACACATACTATCTCGCTATGCAGTTCTATGCGAGTAATCGTGATGACGGCGCATTGTGTAGTGCCCATACCCAGATGGCTTACTCTGAGCCAAGGGGTCATCTTTCGACGCTCAGGCGTAGGCTGAAGCCCGAGCCAACGGGGGTAACCCTTTAGCGCGCACAAAACCGGCCTGAGGACCTTACCGTCTTCTGCATCCTGAGGTGTCCCAACGGGTGCGTGGCAGGACGGCCCCTAGGGCAAGAGGGAGTTTGGAGCAGTGGTGAGTTGTCTGGCGCATCACCAGCAACACGCAGACCCTTCCGCCTGGAACTTCATCGTTCCACCAAGATGAATCGCAACAAGGAAAAGAAAACAAGAGTTGGCGAGGGATATCCCCCCCCCCCCCTTCTATTCACCCCAACCTTCGACTGACCTTTAGTACGCGGGCACTTTAGGCCACACCAGCTCCATACGTAGGAACACATGGGGGAATAATTATGTAACGATCACTTCTCACAGTCATAGTGCGCCTCCTCCTAGCCATACATATATATACGACCGCAAGGCAGCCCAACCAAAACCCCAAGTCTTTGAACATACCTGCAATCACATCAAAAGTCAAGCAAGAGTCCACACGCTACGCGGAGTCAACTCCAGCCAGTTTTCATGCTCATACCTCTCGCTTTAGCCATGCAAACCCCAACCTCCAGCCAACCAACCTCAATTAAATACTCAGTACCTTTGTTAAACGGCCATTCAATAAAAGCCCGGGTGAAACCCTTAACAAACAACAAAAGATCACCAGGGCTAAAGCCTTTTAGGTTGAGTATGGGGAGCGAGCAGAAGTTGAGTCGTGAGCCGACGAATCGGCCTTCGACTTGTTATCAGCGATAACAGAAGAAGATCCTTATAGGATCGAGTTGAACTAGTCCAAGTCCTGAATCAACGTCCAAGAAAGGCCTGTGTCATAAGACAGGTCGACGCCCAGCTTAAATCATCAGCACATGGGGGATGAACCTCCATAGCATATTCTCACTCAAAGTCATCCGCCAGCTAAGTCTAAGCCTACCTCTAAGCCAGTGCTCAAAGCAAAGGTAGGCTAATAGCAGAGTCTCCCCTATTCAGGGTGGATCAC